TGCATATTAGTAGTAATTAAATGACATAATTATAAAAAACTATATATAGGAAACAATTTTATAATAAAGAATCTATTTGTTTTGACTATAAAAAATGGCGACGAAAAAAAAATCTAAGTTGCGGGTTTTCGGTCTTCGGTCAAGTTTAATAATATATAGAATTATAAAAAAATTTTCTGTTTATAAAAGAAAAAATTATATATATTTAGAAATTATGGATAAAATTATTCTCCAGGACTTTAAAAAGGAAGATTGTTCTATCGAGGATTACGTTGATTATATCAAATATATACTAAATGTGAAAAATATTCCTCAAACTGACGCCACTTTAAAAAATTGTTTATAGCTTATGGAGGAATAAACATTATAACTGATATCAAAAAATTACTCTATCCTAGGAATATAGAGGAGGTAAGATGGATTGACATATATAAAATAGCAAAACAACTATAAAGATGAAAGAACTATTTTGGCATCAAGAATTGATTTCATTAGATTAAGTCGCGGGGCTACTGAATCCGTAATGAACTTGGCTTTAGCGATGGAACGAGCCGACTTAGAAATAAATAATACTGCTAAAATGGTATATAAAATCAAAGAGGCGAATAAACATGATAATAATAATCGGATAAATCAACATTATAAAAATAATCGGCAGTATAATAATAATGATAAACGGCACTATCAAAAGGATAATAAAGCATATGTAAAAAGAGAACTAGTGCCCGGGTATAATAACTACCATACAAATAATAATAGTAATTGGAGAAAACCATTCTATTTCTGTAATCGGTTTCATGCTATTAGAAATTGTCCCGTCTTCGGAAAATTGTGCAGCAAATGTAGGAAACCAAATCACTTCGCCGTATGTTGTAAAGCTAAAGAAAAGGTTTAAGGAACAAATTACAATAATAAAGAAGATGATCGGATGTCTCAATAAGAAAAATATACAAATGGGCAACATCCAACAATTGAGGTATTAATAAACAACCAAAAAATTAGATACTGGCTCGGCAGTAACCATTATTAATGAAATAATTTGGAATAAAATCGGAAGGCCAAAACTTAGAAGAGCTAAAGCACCAACTACATATGAAAATAATAGAATAAAAATTATGGGTGAAGTTGATGTAAAGTACAATTAAATAATAACATAAAATGGCTTCAACTATTAGTCACACAAACAAATGATGCAGCTCTGGATTTCCATGGATTATCGAATTTGACTTATCGTTACCAAAAAATGTAAAAATCAATATGATCAACAATAGATATAAATACAATGATAATGGTAACGTAAATATTGACAAACTATATAAAGAATTTGCTACGGTGTTTGATAATAAATAAGGAAAAAATGTCGAAGTAAAACTACAATTGGAAGAAAATACAAAACCAATTGCACTGCCAGCTAGAAGAGTACCGTTGCCTTAGAAATTGAAAATGAACTGAAACGTTTGAAAGAAAATAATATAATCAAGAAAATAGATCCGTAAAACTTCAGGTGAACTACGATTATGTGGAGATTTCAAAGTAACATTATTAATAAATTTCACCAACGTTTGAAGAATCAATAGCAAAAATAGCGAATGGAAATAAATATACAGCATTAGATCTCAAAGATGCATACCTACAATAAAACAAGTCCTTTAAAAAAAAAGTCAAAACAAGCAAAATAAATATAAAAGAAAAAGTATATTTAGGATATAGATCAAAATGGAATACACCCTGATAAAAATAAAATAATAGCAATACAAAAATATCCAACATGATATAAAATCATTTTTAACACGGTTCATACCAAACTTACATTGAATCATAGCCGAATTACATAATAAAACTAGTAAAAATGTTAAATGGAATTGGACTAAAAAAGATGATGCGTTATTTGAAAAAGCAAAAGGAATAGTAACAGAACACAATACTATTACTCTTGCAAAAATATGATAATGGGAACGAATACCCTAAAGGGAAGAACCAGACGAAACCAAATCAATAATACCAATTGAGTCAAAAAGGCCAACAAAAAGATTAATAGATGAACTTGAACTTGGTATAAAAAGATTGATAGACGATCTTAACTTGGTGGGAAAGAAAATATGTTATATTTGAACGTTTATATATATTTTAAAAGGTTACGCTATTTGAATTATATATTTCTTACTTTTTATATTATCTTATGGAGGTCAATGTAATTGAATATTAACTATATATAGGAAACAATTTTATAATAAAGAATCTATTGTTTTGACTATAAAAAAAAACTTTTGTTTCTCTATGATCTATGGGGCTAAGAAAAAAAAACGTTGCTGATTGTATTATTTATATAAATATCTTCTTCTTTATCATGCATATGGTCCCACAGTCGTGGGGTTTGTTTTGATAAGCTTCTTCCATCTTGATCGAGTAAGGGCCATGTCCAGATTTATCTTCTTAGTCATCATAACCTTGTCTACTTAACCTTTCCACGTAACACGAGGTCGTCCTCTTCCTCTCTTCCCCGGCACCTCCATGTCCAATACTTTTCGATTTAATGACCATACCACCTTAACTGATTTTCGTTTATTAAGTCCGCCATAGGTTGAATACCCATTTTTGCTCTGAGACAGTCATTCGTCATATGGTCGAGTTTAGTATACCCCAAGCTCCACCTTATCATTCTCATCTCCGTGGCTTGTAATAACTTTTCTTCCGTAGCGTTTAATGCCCATGTTTCACTTCCATAGAGTAACACCAGTCTTACGATGGATTTGTAAGCTTTACTTTTCAACCATATTGGCAACCTTTTGTCGCACATTACACTGGATATACTTCGCCATTTAAGCCATCCTTTTTGAATTCGTGCATTGACTTCTTATGCACAACCTCCCTCTTGTTGTAGTATCGAGCCTAGGTATGTAAACCGGTCTACTTTTGGGTACTTTAATTGATCATCCAGCAATGGGGTGCCTGTAACGTTCATCTCCATGTATACCGTTTTTCGATTGTTGACCTTTAAACCATATCCAGCTAAGCGCTTTGACCACTTTTTGGCTTCTTCGAATACTTTCTCCTTTGTCTCTTCACATAGTACTATATCATCGGCATATAGCTACACCAAGGAGATGGCTTTTGGATGTCTTCATTATCGTGTCCATAATTATATTGAATAAAAAAAGACTTAGAGCAGATCCTTAATGTAATCCAATTTCAACCCAAAAAGGTTTAGAGTCTCCAACTGTCATTCTAACGCAAGAAGTTGAGGCTTCATAGATATTTTTCATAAGCCCTATATATGCGTCAGGGATATTTTGTTTTCTCAAGCACCACCATATTAAATCGTGAGGGACCGTGTCATAAGCTTTCTCCAAGTCAATAAAGACCATATGTAGGTTCCTTTTCTCCATATTTATCCATCATTTGTCTTAGTGCGAAGATCGGATCGATTGTGGATTTGCTGGTTACAAATCCGAATTGGTTAGCCGATATTTCCACCTCGTTCTTCAGCCTTGTTACTAAGATCCTTTAATAAAGTTCATTATTCATAAACTTCTCAAAATTATTAAGAGTCTTATTAGTAAGGGTAAGAAATATTAACAGCTACAGAATATCTATATATTGCCAAGGTCAACCAGAAAATATAAGGATTATCTTTTTATTTAATATTATAAGCAAATATATTTTTATAAAGACAATAATTTCTTTCTTGGTTGCTGTTTAACACAATTAGATATTATAAGATATTCCAAATTATACCTAAAAGAATTCAATTATCGAATCATAAAATCACAAATACAAATATAAAAAATTTATTGTCTGCCCAATAATTTTTATCTATTATTATATGGAATTATTCATGTAATTTAAAATTATAATTTTAAATATTTAAAATTATTCAAAATTTTTAATTTTTTTATTCATAAATAATCTTAAATTTAAATATTCGAAACATTTAGATTTTAATAATAAATTTTTGAAAATTTATATTGAATTGAATATTCGAAGAATCAAATTGCATAATGTTTTCATTATTAATTATTTGATTCCTACATGGGCGAATAATACAGTTATTCCATTCAAAATATAAATTGTTGAAAACAAATAATGAAAATATTTGATTCCTCTTTTTATTGGCTTATTCTAAAATATTTATAAACTTGTTAATAAATTAAAGGTAATCTTATAAGTAAAGAAAATTAATCACAGGCCTTTTTAAGAGGAATATAAAATAATTATTTATTTTAGTTCAATCCGAAAAGATAATTATCTATTAATTAATACTATTTACCAATATTTTTATAATGATAGTAATTTTGAATTTTATATACGTGACCACTGTTTTAACATAATTAAAATTTACAATATCACAAATAAAATATTAAATTTGTCAAAATAATTTGGGGTGGGAAAAATGCTTAATTTTCTTATTATTTATCCATTTAAATCAAAAAAATGTGGAAAGAAGATATTTTACTTCTTTAAAATAAGAGAAATCAATATTTATTAGTAATTATGATAAAAACTACATTTATTTTTTAAAAAAACAATATTAATTTCAATAACAACACTTTGAAAAATTTAAAATGCTCTTTGATTTAAAATAAAAATTAGTTTTGAAAAAAAATACATAATTTCTACAAAAATTAATCAACATTCATAAAACAGTTTTTTCATTATATTTATACAATAATGGGGGAATTTAGTCTTTCTTTGCACCATAGATGGGGATATTTAGTCTTTCTATTTGCATCATAAATAATACTAACTATATAATTCATAATGGCAATTATAATTAACAAGAACAAAACTATTACTTAAATAATTTATCCCTAACTTATAGCTTCCTAATTACTTTTCAAACTGAAACTAATTTTTATCTAAACTATTTAATGAATACAAACTAAAATTTGTAAAAGAATTGAGAGTTAAGCATTATATATTTTACTTAAAGAAAATAATTTAATCTAGCATTTGGAATAATCTTTATTCCATAAATGTGAAAAATATTATTAATACTTTACCAGTTTTTATAGCTTCAACTTCATTGCTTTTCCATTGTTCAGCCACAACATTATCCAAAGGATCATCAGGATTTGGTGCACTTAATAAAGCCTGAATTGATAATAATACAGTTCGGATTTGTAATGCAGGACTCCATTTATCTATTTTATATTATTATAAAATACATTTGTTAATCATACCTTTTAATATATCCAAACATATTCGCCCTAATTTATCAATGTTTGGATGATATATTTTTGTCATAAAACGAACTTTGGGGGCAGACATAGGATATTCCTCAGGTAGAAACAATTCCAATTTAAACGTTCCTCTTTCAAAAGGAGACTAATATTAAAGTAGTTTTAAAGTATAAAATTATATTAACATCTTCAGGCCCTGCAATTATAACTTTAAAATATCTAGCATTCTCATCATCTGGAATGGCTGTGATACCAGGAACTGGCTCTGCTAATAATCTTTGTGTTTCCTAAGTTACGATATTATATTATTAGTTTTTAATAGTTAAACTTTGATTATTCTCTTAGGTAATCCTGCCATCATTTATCGATGAATTCTTTTATAGGTTAATTAAGCCTAGTTATCAGAAGGATAGTAGTAGAAATATCGTGACACAAAAATGACATCACTTTAATTGTTATGACATGACATATAAAGTTTTTTTAAAAACATCGATTTGACTAAATCAATATTTACCTAAAACTATTACCAAAGCCAAAATATTTTGCCTAAAGGTATAAGAGTTGCTTAGTTCCCTTGTAGCAAATTTTTTTAAACTAAAATCTTGGTTTAATCACTTTTTTACAATTTGTTTAAATCTAGGTTTTTAACATACATCTCATATATTTCCAAACAAAAACAAATAAATATGGTATAATGTTCAGGTCATGTTTCAATCAAGACTTTCAAATCAAACCTATCCATTCTCTCAGACCATTTAATTTTGTTTATCACCAACTATTAAATCCTTAATGTTATCAATTTCTTCTATGAAAATTCAGCACTTAGGCTCTCTCATTTTCAATACATAATACATTGTAAAAATATGCCTCATAGTTCTTTCATAAAAATTTTAACACCACTCTGCAACAAAATTAACAAAGATATCAAAATTTAAATTTACCAAATCCTCATTGGAGCTGGTTAGTAGCCCTAGACCCGATGGCGGTATCCGTCCCATTGTAGAAGGCTCATTTTTTCTGGAGATAACTCGTTGAGATTATCATCGAATGCAAAAAAATTAATTAATACTAATAGACCTATGATTTTTTCTTTCGCTTACATATAGGCCAGGGCTACCCAAAATTTTAACAACTGGTTAGCTAAAAAAAACAATTACCGAAAGAACTTGTTTTATATACTCAATTGTTATGCCTTAAGATGCGAATTATAGTATCAAAATTGTTTTTAAGGCTCGAAAGCTATTTTCTGCTAATTTGTTAAATATGAATTGTTAACATCATTTTCACAAAATATTTTAATATATTTAATCATAATAATTATTTATTATACAAAGTCCAATTTTGTTGGATTCACGAACTCTTGCCTCTGTTTTCGCAAGTCTATGATCCTTCAACTATGATTTTAGGATGTTATATACATGGCATCTTAAGTAAAGAAAGTTTTTCTGATCAAACGGATTGTTAAAAAGTTAGAAATAGGATAGATTGGTAAAATATTTACAGTTCTGGTTGCTTCATTCTTTAAACTGAAGCTGTAGCTCTGCTTTTGCATTGTATTGTTAAAGAAAATTCCATTTGCAATTATTTTTGGTTCTTCCAATAGGATTTCAATCTAATTCCGAAAATTATTTACATTCATTTTACAAGGGCGTCACTAGCCTTTACAATCTCAGGGGACTCAACTAAAAAAATTTTTTTAGGGGGGCTTCGCCCCCATACCCTTCATTTGCGGGCCTTCTGCCCGCTTGCCCGGCCTTCGGCCGGGTTTTATATTAATATATTATACTTTTTAAAAATTTGCTACCTCTGAATAATTATTCTGAATTTCATATTTTATCATTTATTATATTATGCATACAAAATAAATTAGCATATAAATAATTAAAACAATATAAGACATTTCTAAAAATATTTTTTTTAATACAAAATCTATTTATTACAGTATAAAATATTTTTCAATTGCTGATATAAAAAAATTTTGAGTCTAAAGAATAGTGATAAATTGATAATGGTTTTTAAAATCTACATATTATAAAATTAGCAACTTACATTGACAAAAGGTCAAGAAACTAATATAACGCTCTATTACCAATTTTAGACAATGTTTTATAGAATGGACTAATAAAGAAAAATTTATAGGCCTAACCAAATCAACAATTCTTGGAGAAGAGAATATAAACGTCCAATCCAAATCATGAAACTATATGGTGGTTAGAGCTTCCTCTTAAATGACATGATGAAAGCTAGATAAGTAATTGAAAAAAAAATTGTGAGATAATTTCTAAAATATTATCTTCCATTTTTAATGATATATAAAATAAACAACTACACAGTTGACCATTATTGCTTATAAAATATGCAATCATCTGCTCTCAGCAGCTGTAATAAAAACATTTAGATTTATAAATAAATGGTATTCGTCTTTGTTTTTGAGTAATAGTATTGCATTATAAAAGTTATTGCTAGATTTTAAATTTTTTAATATTTTTTTTTCAATCGAAATCAAAGATAGATTTGATAATCGATTTTGGCTCATCCTGTTTCTGCAATAAGATTTGATTCTTTTTAAAGATGAAAAACTTCGTTCTGCACTTGCTGTTGTTGAAGCCAAAGTTAAGAGGAATTTGATTTAAAAAACTCTTTAAAACTTTTCATCAAATCGGTGCATATTAAAATTCAAGTATTTCATTAACTTCTTTTTCTTTCTAAATTCAACATCCCGAAACACTACCTTTAATTAGGTTTCCACCTTGTGTAAGTCAAAAAATTGAGAATAAGTGTCGTTTAAATTATCTCATAAATATTTTGGGAAATTTTGATTATTTGGAATTTACTAATATCTAACAATTCGACGAATTTAATATTTGGTGTAAGACATATGAAATAGAATTAGTCAAATCATTTTGAATTCGCTTGATAGTCCAATAAAAACTGCACTATTTCTAAATGATGTATCAATAGTAAAATTAATTCAATATAATTTCCTCTATTTACTGAATTAGAAGATTCATCATCACCACGGAATACGAGCTTCTGGATTCCAAGAAAACATAATATTTTCAATATTTCTCTATTTAATTTGACTTTAGAATTATGCTGTTCGATTGATATTTTGTGCATCGCATATTTTCAATATGATTTTGGCCAAATGTTTTAAATTGAATCATCGACTGCAAATGAGCGGTTGATTCTTCATGCCATTTAACTGCTTTGAAAAATTATTTATATCCGAAAATCTTTTATCATATCAAACATATTTTTCCACTGGGAATAATAGGCATGACGAACAATATAGAGAATTAGAAAATTCACATCCAGTGAGCCATTCATATTTTTCATATTTATCGATAGAAAAATTACGGATGCAAGTTTTGATTTCTTTTTTTAAGTTTTGTAAAATTGGTTTAGGTCTTCCATTTTCAATAATAAATTTTTTAGCATCAAAATTTCTTGAGCTAAATAATAATGTTAATAAATTTTCAATAATACAATTACAATTATAAACATTAATAAATAATTTTAAACGAAAAATATTTTATTTTCAAAAAGTTAGGAAAAAATATTATATAAAAAAATTTATTTCTTTTTTATTTATTAAAAAGATAAGCATTTTTTTATTTGCTTCCCCAATGCTTATTTTTTAATGGTAAAATTACACAATACCATGGCATGATTTTCCCTTTATTTATTAAAAAAATAAGCAATATTAAATTTGCTTCCCTCATGTATATTTTTTTTTAACATAGTAAAAATAATAGTTAATTTTTTAACTTAGTAAAAATAATAGTAACCTTTTTAACGTAGTAAAAATAATAGTATTTCTTAATATAGTAGAATGATATTAATTTTTTACGTTAAAAAATTATATTAATCTTTTTAGCGTTATAAAAATTATATTAATCTTTTTAATGTTATAAAAATTATAATAATTTTTTTAACGAAGTCAGTTTAGTTTATTTAGCATAGTACAAAGATTATATTAAGTTTATTTAAAAATTTTGTAAGAAACAATGCTTCCCTTGCTTCTATGGACGCTTCGTCACTGAATTACATAGCCACACAAATGATGTTGGTTAATTTGCAGTCATAGCCATGACACTCACTGTATTAACTTATATCAGAATTTATTATGCTAGATAAATTGATAAAACAAAAACACAAAAAATCTTTAGAATAAATTATGCAAATGTATTGAAGCCTTAAGGCATGGATGCAATATTAGAAATGAAACACTGTGTAACTATAAAATAAGAACCAGAGTGATATGATAAGAAATTAATTAAGATTTTATATATTATTGTCGTACCACCTCTAGTTGGTATATTCAGAGTTCTTAAAAGATCGAATCAAAAGATCGACGATCATGGATTCGATCGCAAATTTGTCAATTTTACGAGATTTATGATTCTGACTTAAATTGAGGATCGAGATCATTTTGTTTAAAATTCGATCCCGATCTTCTTAAAAATTAATTTTCTTTCTTTCTTTCTTTTAAAGCAATAAATAAAATAAAAATTTTGAAAATTAAATTAAAATATTATTTTAAAAAAAAATATCTATCTTCATATTTTATCAACTTCCATTCCACCATTTATTTTATAGATATATTTATTCATTTCCTAAATTTTACGAGATTTAGAGCTCTTACAAGTTATTTAATATAAATTTATAATAATATATTAATATTTATTTTAATAGGTAAATGTAAATGTCCATTATAGATTTAGAAGATTCTATTGCTTCTACTATTGAAGTAACAGCAGATATAAGTGAGAATGAGAATCTTTTACCATTTTTGAAATTACGTAAGTATTTTACTTTATGTGAAATGGATGAAAGCAACTCTTATAATATGATCAGCACCAAATGCCGTCTCTGTAAGAAAATAATATCATCTTCCAATATCATCCTCGAACTTAAAGAGACATTTAAAAATAATTCTTTTAAATTTTTTTTATTTGATAATCTTAATGTCAACATGCTTAAATTTAATTTATTACATTCCTGAGTTGAGCAGGTCCTACAGAAATAGAATCTAGATACAGATTCTTTATAAAAAAATATTTTTTTATGCAATTATTTTATATTATCAGATATCTGCAAAATATATTAAAAAATTGCAAAGATCTGGCAAATTTAGTAAAATATTTTTTAAAGGCCAGTTCTACTAAACCTCTGATATCTAATAAAATATTAATGGGCCTTTGAAGACATTAAAAATTTATTAGATTATTTGAATTTTAAGCTAATATTTTGATTAATATTCTTTGTAAATAAATTACAATGTTAATTTCTTTGTATATTAAGTATTAAGTTTACATTTAATCAATATTTATGATATGACCCAAATATAAATAAATACCATACAGATGATGTGCCAGACTTGACTGTAAAATTTAAAAGGGTTAAGTTTTGCAGATACTTGATTTGATTTATATGAATAAAATGAACACT